TCAGATTTTTGTATATAAAAATTTTTTAGAAATATAATTTTTTAGATTTTTAAAACATTTTAACAAATGTACTACTGATAATACAAAAAGTGAACTCATATCCATTAATAAAAATGTCATATTTACGTAATAAGCTTTATTAATTATGCATATTCATCTTAATGATAAACACGCTTGATTAATTTAAACTATTTTCTGCTAAATAAATTTTATTTCCCGACGCTTTTTGCCCCATTGATTAAGATGCTTGAGAACACCCTAAGTCAAAGAAAGTCAATTATCTGAAAGTCAATTACCAAAATAAATGTCAATACAACCAAAATTTACCAGAAAAGTAATTTAAGTGCTAATAACTAAATAGTTAAAGTGTAATACAAAGTATGTAATTGTTGAAATCATGTATATAAAAGTGAAAGTAAATAAAGAAGTAAAATTAGGGCGCCTCAATTAATGGATCAAGGTATGTCAAAAGTGTGTCGGGAATTAAATTTTAATTAACGGAATGTAATTTTAATCGATCAATCAAGCTTGTGATCAAGATGAGTATGGTAGTTTATTATGCAAAAAAATTTTTTTAAATAGTAAAAAATGATAAGTTAGTTTGCCATTTCATTCAAAAAACTTTTTGTCCCTAATCACCTTTTTTTTTTTGTCCTGACTTATCAAGCCTTATAAATATTAAAATGAATAAAGTATTATTCAAGTGTTTTCATACTTTTATTATGATTTTCATTATCGATTTATATTTTTTGTAAAATTTTCGAACTTGTGATTGAGATCTTTATTTTGACCTATCGTTGCAATTGAGCATCATTACAATTATTATTAAATCATAGTAATAACAATGTTTGAGCATATTTCAATAATATCGTTATTCGTATTATTGACTTTTATCCAAAATGTTATGGCAATAGCTAAAAATTATGTAATAATACTTGTGCACTATTTAGATCACTATGAAAATCGCATCTCGGTTGATGCTTGAGAATACCCTTAGCCTCTTTGACTGAAAATAAGAAAAAGGGTATTATAATAAAGTAAATACTTACGTCCCAAGTAGCGCGGTGTGCGTCATTAGAAAGGAGTGTGTCTCAATTGCCAACACATCGAATCAAAGCCATCTGAGATAGATTACAATCACCTCATGATTTTAAGATATTTTTATTAGGAGTAAATATACAAAAAGTACAACTTGTAGGTTTTCCCTTTGCGGCACTCATATGTTTCTACAGGTTTTTAGAAAATCAACTTAGCATCTAAATCAATTGATCAGATAATAATCGTGATAACGCTCAGGCATCACAATTGATGATGATATTTATATAATTAAATGCTTGAGCATACTTTTTCTGTTTTTCGTAAAGTTCGCTTACAATCTAAAAAAACATAATAAAAAAATTTTCTTTACAATCAAAGTTAAAGTTTCAACTTTAGTTACGTCGGCTCCTCCTTTTAATGATTTTAACATTTAAACTTCTTTACTATCCATCATATATGGAAAACATTTTTCAGTTTTAGGTCTTCTTTTACTGAGAAGATTTTAAATGAAAAATGGAAAAACGGTATTCATTATGGTTTGGTAAACGTTAAAAGATTGTTGTATTTATATTAATTTATCTATTATTTGTTTTAAAAGCTTCCTTCGTACAGTACATTAAAAATAAAGTGGCAATCTTTTTAGGCCAGTTATAAATTTGTGGAGAATTAATTGTTTATTCTGTTTGATATGTAAAATAAGTAAAAGTAATGCTTGTGCGACCTTTATCAATGGTAAATTTTTGATGGTTACTTCCGATCCGTTGAGTGAAGTACTTGCTCATTCAGTACAGCGATATTATTAAATGTTCGCCTTTATGTATATTCGATATGCTTGATACGATTAGTTTGTACGAAATTTATGAAAGAACACTCTTGTCAACCAATAAACATTAACAAGAAATATTTAAAAAAAAACTCCCAGCACTTGAGCAGTCTACATGTTACAGATTTTGGATTATACCAATTCACAGGTAACCGATCAAAAACGTTTAAACGGATGAACTCTGAATTAGATGGTCGAGACAAACCATTGTATCAATTGAAAATAAGAAAACCCAAACTCGGATTGTGCTGTGCCATGACATTGAAATACAATCAATTGCAACAATCGAACAAATATTTAGTCAACACCCAAATGTACCACTGGTATTGTCACGGGCCGTAAAATCGTGACTAGCCGAAAACGTGACCTAAACGTCGATCGGGACCTGGATCGATGAATGATCGGCGATCGTTGCTCCCTAACAATGCCCCGGGTTTTGGCATTCAAGATCGACCCGAAATTGGATGAAACCCGCATATTTACAATCATACGGGCGTACCATTGAATTAGGAAAAGATAATGAAGTTTCAGAATGGCGGATTTGGGCGGGTTATATGATAGAAGAAAAAGTCGGGACAGTAGTATTAGGATAGTTAAAAATAGAAAATAGAGCAAATAAATTTATCCAAATTTGGTGAAACCCAAATCGAATGGTTGAAATAATGTGGTGGAGGAATCTAAGGAAAAAGGGGGGAAAGCTACAATTAATCTTAAAAAAATAAATTTGTATAAAAAGAAAAGAAAAATTTAAATAAAATATCTTATCTTCCATGCGCCTGAAATAATATTAGTAAGGGCAAAGATCAAGTGTTAATAAAATTCTCTCGATAAATAAAAACTTTAAACCTAAATAAAATACATACTCGCCAAATCGTAGCCACGCCTCTATTCAAGCCTTCAGTTTGACGTAACGCGAGATTTCTGGCTCTTTAGCGACAGACTCGCCGTTTTCGCCAACTTCAGTATGACAAAATTAAGAAACTACCAAATAAATAATTACCGGCAATATGTAATCCGAACATGTAGATCAAAATTTTTAAAATTTGGAATATTTCATAAATTAGCTGCAATACCACTTTCTCCTTCAAGAGATTAAATTTAATATTTTATTATTTCATAAAAATATATCATTTAAAAACTATAGACTACTTAACTTTAGCCAAGAAAAATAAAGGAGCTATCTTAAATGATAATAATTAAATAACAAAAATTCGCACAATAATAAAATAGAATAATAGAACAATGTTATAAAATATCAAAATAGAAGGAGCTATCTTAAATGATAATTAAATAAAAAAAATTTAGACAATAATAAAATAGAAAAATAGAATAATATTATAAAATATCAAAATATACAAAATTTTATTAGCTGATTACAAAAGATTTAGCTAAAGTATTAAAATTATTACTTGATGTACTAGTGAAATTGCAATCAGGATAGATTCCAAAGGCTAACAGACCATCTTTACTAATAATGTCGATTAAAATTTTGTCATCAGGCGAATAAGGTAAAATATTAATTTTACGATCAATTTTATATTCATTAGTCGGACATTTAGTTACACCATCATGACAAATATTTCTTAAATCGTTAACTAAGATGGTTCCATCCGAAGTAGCGATAATAACACGAGAGACTGCAGAATCAGTGATTGGGATACTGCTTGTAACTTTGAGGCAGTTTGGAGAGCTACTAGGGGATCAGGAGTAAACGTTACTTGATCGATTAATGTTGTATTAGGTGGGACATGTAATATACTATCAGGAGGACATGTCTGAAACTGATGTGGAATAGAATTGACCATAGAAAGCGTGGTCAATAGAACTAATGTCAAGATAAATTTTTGGATCATGATTATTATTTTTTATTACGTGTATAAATTGTGAATGAAATTATTAATACCTTTTTTTTTTCTACTCAAAAAAGTTAAATCATTGACTTTATATATTTTAAAACAGTCATCTGATTTTTTAAACCTTTTAATATGAATATTCATTTTTTAAAAATTTTTATTAGAAATTCATTCATAATCATTCTAAAATAATAAGCCTAAATTACATCAAATTTCGCTGTCTGAATTTGATTGGTAATAGGGATGGGCAAAATTTTTATATATTCTTAAAATATTCTTACATATTCTTGCATATTGTTACATATTCTTAAATTTCGTTATAAT